CAGGCTGCAGCTAACAAGAGAATATTTATTCTTGTTCATTTTCAAGTTATTGGCTTGAATCCAACTGGTCCACTGCCCAAGAACTGGATGCAGGAGGAAGGCTTTTTTTTTAAGCATCTTTTTTAAAAAAAAAAATTATTTATTTGGTTTCACTGGGTCTTAGTTGTGGCAGTGGGCCCCTTAGTTGTGGCATGCGAACTCTTAGTTGCGGCATGCATGTAGGATCTAGTTCCCTGACCAGGGATCGAACCCGAGCCCCCTGCATTGGGAGCGTGGAGTCTTATCCACTGCGCCACCAGGGAAGTCCCAGGAGTCTGGACTTTTAATGCTGGTTTTGGAAGTTGGGAGCGAAACCCACCTGTGACAGGTGTCACCCTCATTCCCCTTGGAGGGTAGGAGGACTGATTCCATCTGTGTGATCACCAGGCTGTGCTCTTTCCTTCTCTCCCTTGACCCCCAAGACACACACACACCCTTAAATGGTGGAGGTGGAGGGATGCACAGCAGTGTGATGGCTACACACACAGATTCTGGAGCCAGAGCTCCCAGGTTTGAATCCGAGCTCCTCCACTTACTATTTGTGTGTCTTTGGGAACATTTCTTAACCTCAGTTTCTCTGTTTCTAAGCAATGACAGTGACACCACTTCACAGGGTTTTAAATGAGGATTAAATGACTTAATATCTGTAGAAACAGAAGAGTGCCTGGGCAGAGCCATAATATGGCTTTGTTAAATAATAATAATAATAAATGTGTACATATATATATATATATATGAATGATCTGCTCTATGAGGATAATCTGGAAAGCTGTTCTTTGGTCAGATAGACTTTGGTAGCTATACATCTGTACTAGAAGTTAGAATTAACTTCTCAAGTTATTCAGTTTGCAAGAAGTCTGAGGGATTTAGCCAAGGCACGTTCAGACTACAAAAATAGGTCTGCGGCTGTGGGTTATATTAGTAGTGATATACTTACTAGGAAAAAGGAGGTGACAGCTCTATTGTAGCCTACATTGGTCAGATCATAGCTATAGTCAGTCCTTCTAAGAGCCTGAGTTATTTCTGGGCTCTTTTTAGTTATACATAAGTTGCCCATGGTTCTGACAGGAAATCAATGCAATCTAACTAACTGAACGAGAAGGTTCGTTCAGTTTTTTCCATAAGATGGCTCTAATAGCACTTAGTTGTCTTTAACTTCATTCAAAACAATTTTGTTAGATTGTATCGTGACAGTTATCATATCAGTGTACATTTAATAAAAGACTTATCAAAATTGGTGAATTTTTGTGTAGCCATTTTAATATTGAAGATGGAAGAAAAAAGGCAACATTTTTGGCACATTATGCTTTATTATTTCAAGAAAGCTAAAAACGCAACCGAAATGCAAAAAAAGATTTGTGCGGTGTATGGAGAAGGTGCTGTGATTGATCGAAAGTATCGAAAGTGGTTTGTGAAGTTTCGTGCTGGAAATTTCTCGCTGGTTGATGCTCCACGGTCAGGTAGACCAGCTGAAGTTGATAGCGATCAAATCGAGACCTTCATTGAGAGCGATCAGCGTTATACCACGCAGGAGATAGCCGACATACTCATAATATCCAAATCAAGCATTGAAAATCATTAGCACCAGCTTGGTTATATGAATTGCTTTGATGTTTGGGTTCCACGTAAGTTAAGTGGGAAAAAAACCTTTTTGACCCTATTTCCGCATGCAGTTCTCTACTGAAATGTAATGAACGTTCCATTTTTAAAACAAATTGTGACAGGCAATGAAAAGTGGATACTGTACAATAATGTGGAATGGAAGAGATCATCGGGGCAAGCGAAATGAGCCACCACCAACCACACCAAAGGCTGGTCTTCATCCAAAAAAGGTGATGTTGTGTCTATGGTGGGATTGGAAGGGAGTCCTCTATTATGAACTCCTTCTGGAAAACCAAACGATTAATTCCAACAAGTACTGCTCCCAACTAGACCAACTGAAAGCGGCACTTGATGAAAAGCGTCCAGAATTAGTCAACAGAAAACACATAATCTTCCATCAGGATAATGCAAGACTGCATGTTTCTTTGATGACCAGGCAAAAACTGTTACAGTTTGGCTGGGAAGTTCTGATTCATCTGCTGTACTGACCACACATTGCACCTTCGCATTTCCATTTATTCCGGTCTTTACAAAAATCTCTTAATGGAAAAAATTTCCATTCCCTGGAAGACTGTAAAAGGCACTTGGAACAGTTCTTTGCTCAAAAAGATAAAAAGTTTTGGGAAGACGGAATTATGAAGTTGCCTGAAAAATGGCAGAAGGTAGTGAAACTAAAGCGTGAATACGTTGTTCAATAAAGTTCTTGGTAAAAATGAAAAATGGGTCTTTTATTTTTAGTTAAAAACCGAAGGCACTTTTGGCCAGCCCAATAGAATAAAAATTCATAGCGAAGCCCTCCCTTTTTCCCTGATATAAAATTGTCTCTCGATGATAATAAAAATGTGAGGCCCCAGCCAACAGATCTTGCTGTCTTGCCTGAAACATTGAGACCAGTTCTAATTTTGGTTGCCACAATTAGAAAGGGGTACCAATACTGGCAGGGCTGGGGAGGAAACTTGAAATATGACAAATTCGAACTCGTGGAGACAAGCATAGCTGTTAGGCTGAAAGTGAGGGGACACAGGAGAGTCACAAGAGCTGGCTTCAAACCATGGGAAGGGCTGCCATGAGAGATGTAGCAAGATAAAGAACACATTAAGTACTGAGTGTGCTCAGAGCTTTCCATCGCATATCCAATTAAATGCCCACAGCAACCCTGCGGAAGTAAACAGACTATTGCATGTAACCAGGGGGAGAGAGGTAAAGTGACCGTCGCCAGTGCCCTGATGGATATGTGCCAGGGCCAGGGATCCTAGTCTGTCAGATCTTTCGGCCTCATCCCACCACCTGTAATGTGATCACAGGATGCAAGTGTAATATTAGAGCTTTCTAATACTGTGTGTGGGAGTTATGCAGTGATTCCCGACCATCAAAGATGGCCAAGCAGGGACTTCCCTGGTGGTGTAGTGGTTAAGAATCCACCTGCCAATGCAGGGGACATGGGTTTGAGCCCTGGTCCGGGATGACCCCACGTGCTGCAGAGCAGCTGAGCCCATGCACCACAGCTACTGAAGCCCACACACCTGGAGCCCGTGCTCTGCAACAAGAGAAGCCACTGCAATGAGAAGCCCGTGCACCACAACGAAGAGCAGCCCCCACTCACCACAACTAGAGAAAGCCCGCGCGCAGCAACGAAGACCCAATGCAGCCAAAAAAAAAAAAAAAAAGATGGCCAAACAAATTAATGCTTGATAACTATCGTCAAGTGATTTATTGAAAAGGCGATTTATTTATGTCCTGTTGGAGAGTGGAAGTCGTTAATCTGTGAAGGTGACTTCTGGCTTTGAGATTCTGAGTTTCTGTACTTTGGGGTAGAATATACACTTTACATGTATTAAGTGATTTTTTTTCCCCCTGTATTTTTCACTTCCTCTTACATCCCATCCCCTTCTCCCACTCATGTGGATATTCTGTTCTGGGAACATACCTCTTTTGTTTTATTTATTTTATTTTATTTATTTGGTTGCACCCGCGACATGCAGGATCTTAGTTCCCGGATGGGGTTAGAACCTGTGCCCCCTGCAGTGGAAATGGGGAGTCTTAACTACTGGACCGCCAGGGGAGTCCAACACGCCCCTTTCAAAAATAGGGATGTGGTGGCTGGCAGTTTGACAGTTGGGATATAAGATCATACTATTCTCTCTGGTGGTTGAGTTTATTTTTTACTAAATTTACTAAGGAGATTATGTTACACTCCTCAGAGGAAAACTTGGAAAGATTAGAAGAGGATGCGATCACATCACCTCCCCTCCCCTCCCCTCCAGTTTCTTGGTACCAGGAAAAACCCAAACCCATGAGTGTGGGATTTAGGGCTGGGATTGATTTAAGATTAATATTCTGCTCTCCTACTAGCATGGGGGACTTGATATAGAAATCAGGTTGACTTTTTGAAAACAAGTTATATTTCTTACACACCTGAGCTTGTGAAGAGACCTATTTTAAGCTTGGGAGATGCAGGGTGTGCTGAGTCCTAACACAGTTTGCAAATCTGAATTTTTTGGTCCTCTGCTTCCCCCGTGTGGACATAAATGGAAATAAGTTCAAGAGACCCCTTGCCCCAGGAGTGTGAAATTGGACTGGGGAGAAACCTCCCCTAGGAACTGGTGGAGGTGTGAAGGCCGGTGAGGGCTTATGACCCTAGGAGGGAGTCAGGAACTGTTCTCAGGGGACAGGTTCCGACCTCGTACAAGCTGTCAGTGATTCAAGAGGCTTGCTTCGTATTCACCATTTTTATTTTTCCTGGAGACACTGGGATCCAGTAAGCAAGGGATTATCTATAGGCTCCCAGTCATGCACCTCTGCAGTTCTGGGCCACGACCAGCACCCATGGGTGCCGTGCCAAGCCTCCCACGCCTCTTCTTCCCGGGTTTGGAGTAACAAGTCTGTGGGTTTCTCCCTTAGCTTTTCACACCCTCTCTTCACCGTCTGTCCCTGAGCTACCACCTCCACACAACTCGACACCATCACGTTTGTGTTTGCCGCATCCCTGATTCCTGGCAGAGGTACAGGGCAGAGCTGGTCCTTTTGTTCTGATATGCGGACAAGGGGAGCACTTGAGCACAAAGGGGGGCTGTGAATCGCCGGGACCCCCCTGGCTGGGATCCAGGACTGTCTTCTACCTGCAGCCTACCTGCCTCCTTCCCTGGCCAGCTCCCTCCTGGGTGACTGTCACACTGCCCAACCTCACCCCATCCCCCCTGGATAGACAGCAGCTGTGGCCTGGGGCCACTGGTCCCAGCCCTCTCAGGAGAGGATGGGTTCGCTGGGCCGCCTCCAACCTGTGCCCTGGGCCTCCACTCTCCAGCTGGGATCCAGGGACCCATAGGCCTGGCCTGACCTCCCTCCCTCCCTCTGCCCCCTCACGCCTCCAGACGCTTCCGCAGCCTGCGGTCCAGGGCCAGGAGCTGCCTCAAGAAGCCCCTATTGGGGATGATGCCTCGGTGGTCTTTGACTTTTTTGATGGCCTCCACGAGGGTGAGGCTGTGGTACAGCATGAGGTAGGCCAGCACCAGAGTGGCCGAGCGGCTCACGCCCACGGCACAGTGCACCAGGATCCTCCCTGTGAACACAGACACGAGAGATGGCTGGGGACCTCGCGGCGGGCTGGAGGAGGCTGGGGAGGGGGCCCCACGGACCGGTGGGGAGGTAGACAGGTAAGCAGAGATGCATGGACGCACAGACGGGTGACGGTAAGAACCCAGGTCCTGGCCAAGGGGGGAGCCTGGACGGGATGAGATGGAGAGGCTGCAGCAGCGCAGCATCCATAAGCCCAAAAGGGGCTCGAAGGGAGAGGCTCATCACTAACGCAAAACCGAGCTTTGCACCGAGCTGGGCTTCCTTCTGTATGTGCTGAGTGCGTCCATGGAAGACCCTTTATGTCTAACTGGGTCCTTCCTCAATCTCCCATTCACTTTGGGGTGGATGATTAATATATTTTTTTCCTATTAAAAATTAAAAAAAAATTTTTTTTGGCCACGTTCTTTGGCATTTGGGATCTTAGTTCCCTGACGAGGGATCAAACCTACACCCCCTGCATTGGAAGCGTGGAGTCTTAACCACTGGACTGCCAGGGAAGTCCCAATGTATTATATATATATATATATATTTTTTTTCTTTTTCCTGATCACTAAAGCAAGACAGGTTCAAGGTAGAAATCATTAGAAAGTATAGAAATATATAAAGAAGCCAACAATTGAAAAATATATCGCCCATAATCTCACCACCCAGGTGCAACTTTCCACTGTCTCAACATTTTGGATTATTTCCTTCTTTTAATGGACTGCCTTGAAAAGATGGTTGAGAGAATAGTTTCCTTTCCTGAGCATTTTATCACATCATTCAGGTCTCTCTCTCTCTCCACACCCAGACCCCTGGGCTGTTCTCTAACCCATTGTCTGTTGGTCCTTCCCTCCTCCTTGCTCCCCCCCTACCTCCCGGCTGGCTCAGTGCCCGGTGGATGAAGTCGGCGGCCGCCTGGAAGTGGACGCTCATATCGAAGGCTGGCGAGTCGTGGGCCTCGACACCCAGGTAGCGGATGCCCAGCCCCACGTAGGCCTCGGGTGTCCCTCGCCACCTGCTGTGAGAGGCGTTGAGGACGTGGCTGATGCCCAGGCGACGGAGCTCCCGGTGGTTGTTGGCTATTTCCCTGCATTGAGGAGTGGAGGTTAGGGGGGCGCGGAGCTGGGCGGGGGGTCCCGACCTCTGCCCGGCCAACGTCGTTGTCTCCAGGCCTCCACCTCACTTCCTGAGGACCCGAGATAGGCAATGAGCCAGAGTCTCATCCTGGAGCAAAGGTGGGGAGTCCTGGGGAGATTCTGCCTGGAGGAGGGGAGACTGAGAGATGGGCAAACAACAGCCATGAAAACATATTGAAAGGATGCTCTGAGGCAGAAGGACTTTACTTGATCCGGGAAAAGGATTGACAGGGTTTGTGCTACATGTAAGGAAGTACCTACCGACGGTGGAATCTAGCTGGAGAAAGATTGGGGCGCCTTGGGACAGAGGGACTTTCTTCACACCAGGGTATTCAACTAGAGAGAGGAAGCCAATGGATAGGGGCTGGAAGTGGCAGAGCGAATCTGAACATTGGATGGGTTGTTGGACCAGCTCACATTTAATGTCCTGCTAACCTTTTTTTTTTAAATTTAATTTAATTTTAATTTTAATCTTAATTTTTTGGCCACGCTGTGCTGCATATGGGATCTTAGCTCCCTCACCAGGTGTTGAACACGAGCCCCCTGCAGTGGAAGCGCAGAGCCTTAACTACTGGACCCCCAGGTAAGTCCCGTCCCCCCGTTACTTTAGACTCTCTGACGCCCAGAATCTTCTTGTGTTTTGCCAGTTACTCCACGCTCATGGTTACCCTGTGGTGGAGGTCACCTTCAGATGTTCCTGTGGCCCGTAGCCCTCAGCTCAGCCAACATGATCATATCAAACGCCCTGTCCAGCGCCAACTCCTCAAGCAGAAAGAGCCCTGAACTTGAACCTCCAAGTCCTGGCTCTGCTACTTACGACCCGTGTGACCTTGGGCCAGTCCCAACTTCTCTGAGCTTCCGATGCCTCCTCTGTAACCTGGGGATAGTGGTACCTACCTCACAAGGCTGTCGTGAAGATTAAGAGAGAAAAGGCATGTGAAAAACTCCTTGTAGCCTCTAAAGCCCTTGGGAGAGACAAGTGGGGCCTCCTCTTCCTTTGACGCCCTTCTCTCCCTCGACCCCACGCACCTGAGTGAGCCTCTGCGCACTCTGCAGCTTGGCTTGGTCAACCTTTCGCCTCACTAACCACTGTTCCCAGCCCCAGTGATGGCCTTTTCTCAGGGCACAATAGGTGGAAGGTCAGAGAAGTCATCTAAATGTCCAGCCCTTAGCACTGGCACGCAATCATACATTTTGCTAAATGAACGATATGATTACTTGAACAGAGTCTGTCTGTCCAGGGTTGGGTCTATCAATAATCCTGTCCAAACTCCCCCAAACCCTCCTCCACTCTGCCCATGCACCCCGTCCCCTCCATCCTCCACGTGGAACCAACAGCACGACTCAGCGCCTCTCTGCCACTCTTCTGCTTTCTTTTTGCACATCACACACACACACACACACACACACACACACACACACACACACACACACTCAGCTGTGGTCCCAGTCTGCTGGGTACATACTGGTCTCCGAGGTAGAGGCCTGGCCAGACCTCGTCGGCGTGGTTACAGGCTGTCTTGCCCGTGTAGAGAAGCCTCTCCAACTCAAAGACGTTGAGGAAGGGATGCTGGACAGCTGGTATCTCTTCCAGGGCCCCTCTCGTGCGAACAGGAGACCTCGAGCCACTCCGGGAGAAGCGGGCCATAAATGTCACCGAGGCCCAGAGCCAGTTACCGGGGCACATCTTAGAGGCGGCAGGAACCGTGGCAGCCACGGGGGTGGCTGATGAGGGGTCAGTCTCCAAGTAGCTGCTGCTGGGAAAGGCAGGGATGTGAGACACACCGGAGTGAGTCTGGAGCAGCTGCTGCCCTTCCTGCCAGCTGGGCTGGCCCCTGGGGAGAAGATTCTCCAGGGACGAAGGTGAAGTCTGGCCCTCTGGTGCGGGAAGTGCTCCGCATGGTCTTCTTTGAGCTGCGGCAGCTCCTTTCCCCTGCTCTTTGGCTCTGCCGGGCAAGGAGGTGGGAGAGTCACATGTTCTTGTTTACGGGAGAGGGAGCTGCCAGCTGCTGGGTGTCTGCCCCCCCACTCCACCCCAATTGCCAGCGGAGACGTAAACACGCACGCAAACATTTGGTATTTGGGTGGCAGGGCCCGCTGCCGGAACCCTTGCCAGCCCGGGTCTGGGTCTCATGTGCCTGAAGCTACAGGTGGAGAGGCTGGGGGGCTGGCAGGGGGCTTGGGGGTGGCTTTGGACCCATTCAGAGGGAATTAGCATGAAGACAGTGCAGCAGGGGCTGTGACACAGCACGCCTGCCTCCTCAGTGCCAGAGGGATGGGCTGCTTTAACCCGTTCCTGCCCTCCCTCTGCCTCAGCGATGAGCCTGCTCTGGGAAGTCTATGGTGGGGATGAGAGGAGTAGGGAATAGTAATAAAGACGAAGTGTCAGTGTTTGAAAACTACTTGCTGAAGGCCCTTGCTGATGGAGGGAAGCGCCAACCTATGTGCGCAACAGGCAAAGCATCCTCCTTTGATCAGCATACAGATATCATTGATTAAACGTCATCTCTCTGGGTCCAGACAGGGCTGGAGCATTGTGTGTGTGTGTGTGTGTGTGTGTGTGTGTGTGTGTGTCTGTGTGTGTGTCTGTGTGTATGGGTGGGTGGGGAGAGGAGAAGGGAGGCAAGGGAAGAAATGAGGGATCCTGCCAGGCCCAGGGGCTCAGAGTCTGGTATTAGCATCTGTGTTGCTGGTGGAGTTCAAGTGGCCCTACTTAGCACATGGGGTCCTCAGTGAGGGGCCTTAGCGGAGGTGCCTCTGACTCTCTGTGGACAGCTGGGCCTCCTGAACGTGGGACCCTGCGTTGAGCTGCAGAGCTGGGAAGGGCCAGCCTTTGAGACTTGCCCGGGGAACTTCAGGGCAAGAGCCACGCCCACTCCCCTTCCTCCCCCTCCCTCCTCCTCCTCCACTTCCTCCTCCGCTTCCTCCTCCTCCTGTCCCCCCTAACCCTCCCCCTTCTCCTCTCACACTGTGATCCTGACCCTCTGAAAAGGTGGGCTGGTCTGAAGGATCCCCATCCCACTCCCTGTCCTGTCTTCTGCCCCAGGGACTCAAGGGAAAGTCCACAGTGAGAGGCCATCTTTGTCCTGCCCCCAGCCCGCTTCCCCACCCACGCTCTCAGCCAGGGCCCAGCTCTCCCCATCCCCCCATCCCCCAGGGCCAGAAGAGATCTAGCGCTCACAGGGCAAAAGGAGCAGAGGTCTTAGGATCAGGACTGGTGAGGGGAGATGGGATCTTGGGGTGTTTAGGGAGAGAGGTGGTTTTCCCTGGCGGGTCAGAAGGAGCACAGAAACAGAGCACGAGAGCCGTCACCACCACCACAGCTATCAGCTTCAACATCATCACCACCGTCATCTACTTTTCCTCCGCAGGCCTGAAGACCCCACCATCTGGTTCCCAAGCAACCTTTCCTGGAAACAGATTCTGCCGCCTGTGGGAAGCTGAACGGTGCAAAGAGAGCGGGAAGCAGACCAGGTGTAGCAGGAGCTCCGCGTGACTCTATTTCTCCCCATTCCGTCACGGGGTGCCCCCCTGGGCACCCTCCAACCACATCCGCAGGCTTCTGGGGGCCCTGGTCCGCCTCTCCCCTCCCTGCCTCTGCTGTCGCGGTTGTAACAGGTTCATGGCTGTCGCCCAGCCCTCGCCAGCCCAGACAGCCTGGCGCGGAGGGCGGAGGGAGGGAGCCCAGGCGGGCCCCGCAGGTTCGCTCCCAGGCCCCTTCCCCCAGCCTCGGCCCCCAGCCCCGGCCCCCGCGCCTCGCCCACCCGCCCCGGCCCCGCTACCTCGGGAGGCGGCGCGGGTCTCAGTCCCGGAGGCAGATCGCCGGCTCAGACAGCCCCACGGCCATGACTCTGCCACCACCGCCGCCTCGGCTGCCAGCGCCAGACCGGTTGACGGATTAGCATCTATTTTTAAGCCGTGACACGCACGTCGAAGCAGGGCTGGTATCAGTGTGCGTGTGTGTCAGCGACACGCAGGGACACAGCCTCACACCCGGTGGCCCGAGTGGACACGCGGCGTGGGCCACGCAGCCCGCACCCCCTGCGGCCACGCCTCGCAGGCATGCTAGTGTGTATGTGTATTTTCGGAGCTGCGCCAATGACAGGCACTTTGCCTAAAGCTGACATTATGTAAGTCGTCCCAGACTGTGTCTTGAGCACACACGCTCCTCCCCAGGCAACGTTAATGAATTGCATAGACACGAGGATGATTCCCACTTACTTGTACATTTCTCCTTCTGCGAGAACACCGTGGTACAGAGAACTATTGTTCGTAACCCTGATCAGGATTTACTATATACCACGTGCTTCACATATCTTAGCTCGTCTCATCCTCACCACAAGTCTGTGAGGGAGGTGATATTGTTACTGTACCCATTTTAGGGAGGAGGAGACGACGAGGCACAGAGAGGCTAAGTGATCTGCCCAGGGCACGCTAGGCATCGCCAGAGCTGAGCTTCACACCCTGGCTGCCTGGCTGGGAAGTTCAAGTCCTTAAGGGATTTCTGAACAAGTGTCCCCCGCACAATGGAGAAGGCACAGTGGATTTCTATCCGGAAAGCCATTTCGGGCAGCTCAGCTCCTAGTGAATTTCCCTTTCCTCCACCCCTGAAGAAATTCATGTGCTGCTTTTTGGGGATATTTAGCTTCACTTGCTTTTCTACCGTAAGCACCTTGTAGGCTCCAGTATTGTAAAGACTTGGAAGGCAAGGACAGTGTTGTGGTCCCCAGTGCCCAGCTCACTGTGTGATGGGGCGGTGGGGGCAGTAATGAATGTTATCAGGTGACGCTTTGAGAACCAAGAAGGCCCGGACTCCAGGAGAGCTGCCTGACAGGAGGAAGCCAGGAAGAAGATGAGGTCAGGCTGGACCTGGCTTCGGATGGTAGGCGGTATCTACTGTAGCTGAAATCAGGATGGACTACATTCCCAGAGGGACGGTAGATCAGGCTTTGAAATCTGAGTCAGAGAAAGTGACATGATCCCCAGTTCAGTTCCATCACAGGGTGTCATTGAAGAGTGATTCCCCCCTCCACCCAACCTTTTCCTCTCTAGAGAAGCAAACACAATTCCTCTCTATTTTCCTTGTGACTTCTTGGTATGGCAATTTACCTGAAGACATGAAATCCTCATCATTTAAAGCAAAAAACCCTTCAGGGGTTCCCTGGTGGCGCAGTGGCTAAGAATCCACCTGCCAAGGCGGGGGACACGGGTTCGAGGCCTGGTCCAGGAAGATCCCACATGCTGCTGAGCAACTAAGCCTGTGCACCACGACTGCTGAGACTGTGCCCTAGAGCCCATGAGCCACAACTACTGAGCCCATGTGCCACAACTACTGAAGCCCACATGCCTAGAGCCCGTGCTCCACAACAAGAGAAGCCACTGCAATGAGAAGCCCACGCACCGCAATGAAAAGTAGCCCCCGCTCACCGAAACTAGAGAAAGCCCACGCACAGTAACAAAGACCCAATGCAGCCAAAAATAAATAAAATAAAATAAATTAATAAACAAACTAACTAACAAAAACCCTCCTGGGAAATTTGAAATGTAACCACAGAAGCCCCAGTTCATAGGGTTTTAAAAAATGTATTCTTGTTATTCAAAAAAATTTTTTTTAGTCAATAGGCAGTTTCTCTAAGACTTAAAAAAAATCTATCTTTGTTGGAATAATATATCTTTACATATAATTCTATTTTAAGTGTAACTCATAAACTCTTTATAGCCAGATTAAAAATTAATCTATATTTTTATATTTATTGTGTTTACTAGTGACTCTCTTTTTATATTTATTGTGTTTACTAGTATTTAAAAAAATGATTTCCACCATCTTCTTTTGTGTTTTCTATCTGTTGTGCTTTCCCTTCCTTCTTTTGTCCTTTTCTTTCTTTGGGTGAATTTATCTAGTGTTCTTTATCCGTGTTACTGAGCTCTGTTGATTTGAAAGTTAACATCTACATTTAGTTGGTACTTTTATGCTCTCCCTGAATAAGACGAGGATTTTTATTTAAATTTCCCTCAGAAACACTTTCTTTCCCATTTTCTTTATTATTATTATCCACTACTTTGAAACCAGCTTTAAAAAAATTTCTTTGTTTTAGTCATCAATCACATAAGGCACATAATTTAAAGAAACAACGCATTCTGCAATACTTATACAAAAATAGCGACCTTCTACTTATTGTCTTCCATCCATATCCCAAAGAAACATATTGAACGATTTCAGGTATTAAAATTTTTGTACCTCTCAATATGTTTATTTTGCTATTTCTTAATTTTTCAGTTTTAGGAATTATCTGTTAATTTCTAACTATGAATGCTGAGGGTTTATTTCTCTTCTATTTCATACCTCCAAGATATATATAAACATTCCCTCTTTATGCATTTTTTATATGTACAGCTATATCATAATTTTGCTATGTAAGTATTCAGTATTTAAGATATTACAACTATATAATCCTTATTCACAGTTAAATCGTGTTGTTTGTTATGATTACTTTTTTTTCTTACATGACTTTGTTTTCCCTTCAGTTAATAATTATTTTTTTGTGTGTTTCATTGCTTAATTTTCAATGGATGTCTCACTAATTCAGCCCCACACTTTTCCCCAATTGCCTAAATTTCCTGTCAGTAAACGTATCAGTTATTTTCTCAGTATCGTTTTTTTCCATAAGTCTTTTCTGGAGCCTTTCT